TACTCCCCAGCTCCCTGGCCCCTATAGGTTAACCCATTTCACTCCTGTCTGCTGGTCCACGATGTATCTCCCTAAGATCTGGCTCAAAACTTTCCTGACATTTGTCAGTGATCTTGTTCTTCTCTAAACCCACGCCCATATATTCATTTGACGCCTGATATGTCATGTATCTTTTTCAAGAGTTCACTCATCATTCAAATAGACTGTTTGGCACCAAAACTCCATCTCTTCTCCCTTGACAACCAAAACTCAGCTCTTGACAACATGCTTGAGCCACATTTACTGACTCCTGCTGACCTTTGCAAAGTGAGGTCAGATGGAGGTTCAACAGGGAATGCCTTGCCTCACCTCAGCAGCTGGGCTCTTCCGTGTAGGTGCATTGAAGTGAAGAGAGAAATACGAACCTCGCCTCATTGGAGGAGCAAGCCTATGTTTTCTCCAGAGGCCTGATGGAACTGGCCTGCTAACCCCTCACAGTCAAACCCACAACTCCTACCCCAGGTTAGGGAGGCCCTCTCTTTGTGGAGGGGAGATATCCAAGGAGGGTGTAGAAACAGAATTTGCTGACTTGCTTCTGAACCCGAGGTCAACCAAAGGTTTCATGACCTGTGTACCAAATGTATGGACAACTGATGACTGTCGCAGACTGCTCTCACTTCCCTGTTTATAAGGCAGCTCCAAGGACTGCACAGAGAAGCCATAGAAAGGTTAATGAAAGGCCTTGGGGGAAAGTCACCCATGACCTTTGCTGGTGTAAGGGCTGAGCACTAATGCAGCAGGAGTCAAAAAGGCCCCCAGGGTACTCCAAACAGAGCAGGAGCAGAGGACCAGCAATCAGACCTGCCTCGTGGCTGATCGATGAGCTGGATACTGGGCATGCACAGGGTTGCAATCGAGTTTCCATCTGGGTTTAAATTCTCAAATGTCAGTGCTTGCATCACCCAAGGAACTTGTGAAAATGTGGCTTCTTGGTCTTATCTTCACAATAGACTTTGAAACAGAACATGGACTGAGAAATACAGATTTTTTAACAACTCCTTAGGTAATTCTGATGTAAAAGATACACTGGCCACACATGGGTTTAGGTGGTACATCCCTTCCAACATTTACCGTCCCCCAGGGACTGGGATGACATTCCTGATAGAAAAGAAAGTACAACTGCTGATACAGGAGTGGGTGTACGAGGCTCTCCGTAACTTCCGGCCACTCACCATGGTTGGGATGTGAACAGTCCCCTGAGTACCTAAATATACTTGTAGTGTGTGATATAGCTGGTGTGCAAACATGGCACGGATAAGCCAGGCCTCCAGGTACTCGTGTGCTTGGGTATTCCCTCTACACTGACTCTGGGATGTCTGTGTGGCTCACCATAACAACAGAATGCAGAGTGTGTTGCAGAACCAGCCCCAGGTCAAGACTTAAGAAGGCCAAGAACTTCATGGACTGGCAGATGGTGTGGTGGTTAAAGTGCTGGACTTTCACAGCACTGACCACAGTTTGAGTCCTGAACCTAGAGGCTTGCTCTCTCACTCTTCCTCTCACACACACTCCTTCTGTCTCAA